AGAAGGGAAGTAAGCCGACACCTTTTGAAGATTAGACAATACAATCACAATGACTACCATATTGAATACTCTAGTGTATCAGATATTGTGCTAAGTGTGCTTTCATCTTCACAACTCTGTGAAGAATTTAATGCTCAAAGAAGCCAAGTAAATTCCCTAAAGCATCAAGGTTACTACATTGCTAAATTGGACCTCAGAGGAGCTCTGATTGGCTCTCAGCCTTCCCTGTTCCCTACCTTACAGTGACATCAGCTAACTACAGTGAATTATTGAGAGGGATGTTGATATGGGATCCCTGCCTACAATACTTGTTTTCATTACTTGGTAAGATATATTTATATCTTCATTAAATGAGAGCAACAAGAGTATTTTGTTTTTATGTAGAAAAATTTAAAGAAAATGGGAAATAATGTGGCTCTGAGATGACTTGAGAGAGTGATGGATTACAAACCAGCTCAATTCGTTGAGCTACTGAAAGAGATGAGGCAAATTACAGTGAAGGATGTGCTTCTGGAAATAAAGAACACCATTCTGCCATCCTTAATTAAGTGCAAAAAAGTATAGATTCTCCTACCATTGAGCTTTGCTGGAATGTGTTTGAAACTGGTTGGAATGGTTTGCAAAAACTCCCTTCTCTGTAGGAGGAACAAACTTTCCAAAGCTCTTGGGAGTAAAATCACCAAGTAGAGTTTCTTCAGTTCTTGATATTTTTAAACCAATCATGTAAAAATATTTTACTGGCAAATATTCCTAGATCTTTAAAGTAACCCTACTTTATATATCTGCAAGCTCCTTCGGTTTGCAGTGTCCTTTTTTCCTTTCCTTCAGAGGTGAATGTTATTCAGACCTGAATCCCCAACTAGACAATCAAAGTGAGATTCATTTTTCTAACAATATCTACTATCCTACAAATGGTTTTGTATTAGTCCAGTAAGAATTTTGTAGTCCTTGGGGGATTTATTCTACCAAATAGCGGGTCATATTAACAAAGTATAGGAGAATTTAGGGTAAACATAATTTTGGGGGGTTGATTTGATCATTACTAAAATCTAATAACTCAGGAATGAAAACTTTGAAATTCAATCAAATAGATAGTCTAGGTATAACAAAAAGTTTACAGATTCTGTTAGATCATTCTTCTTTTGGAGGCAGTTTACTTTCCAACTCCCGATTTTTAGAACTTCATCCTATATTTTAAGGGAGCAAATTAGACTAACAATATATTTGAGTAAAAAGTGTTTGCAGTTTCATCAGAGGCACTCATAATTGGGAATACCTATTACAGTTTATTGGCATAATTTTACACAAGGACTTTGATTTACAGTGCTTTTTCACATTTCTTGGCTCTGAATTTTAATGTAGTGTTAAGTTCAGAAACTATTTTCTGCTATGAGATTTATTTGGTGTCTTTTCAAAAGCTGGGCCCCAAAGTTGGCACTTCTGAACAAACTACCAACACTTCTAATGAGAGTATTCCTGATTATTTGTATTTGTTTTTTTTTTTTTATTTTTAATTTTTTTTTTTTTTAATTTTTTTTGAGACGGAGTCTCGCTCTGTCGCCCAGGCTGGAGTGCAGTGGTGCAATCTCGGCTCACTGCAAGCTCCGCCTCCCGGGTTCACGCCATTCTCCTGCCTCAGCCTCCCGAGTAGCTGGGACTACAGGCGCCCGCCACTGCACCCGGCTAATTTTTTCTATTTTTAGTAGAGACAGGGTTTCACCATGGTCTCGATCTCCTGACCTTGTGATCCGCCCGCCTCGGCCTCCCAAAGTGCTGGGATTACAGGCATGAGCCACCGCGCCCGGCCGTATTTGTTAAGAATTCTTTAAGATGAATGAGCTCAATATTGTGTGCTACCTTGACATCTGCTATTATTGAGAGAGCCTCAAATGGCCTAATTGCAAGTTCCCCTCTTCACTCCGCTCCTGCAGATATGGTTCTCTAGCCAAACAACCCTCCTTATCCAACTGACCAGGTGCAATTCCTGAGTATACCTTAGTAATAGGTTCCAGTTCAAACAAGCCAATCATATCCTTTGGTGGAACCAGGGGCACATTACTCTCTGGATACCCACAACCCCTGGTTGTTCCTTATTGTGACGTCCATGTGGCCCCGCATGTTTTGTGGTGTCCCCCTTCCCTGGACTGTAAGTATATGTGACTAATAAACTGTTGTGGATTTGATCTGTATAGTGTCAAGAGTTATGTAACCATCTATCCCTGTAACACAAAGAAAGGAACTTCGCCCCCATTAACAAGGTGAACAGGAGGTGATTGAAACAGCATGCCAGGAAAATATTAAACCATCTGAACACCAGTGAAGAGTTATTTTTGTGAATTTTCAGTTCCCTGCCAATCATTTCTCATGATTAATCATAATTTTAAAGAATGAAGAAAGAAAGCACAAAATAGATTTTTGTTATGGTAAGAAAGAAGCAATCTTGAATGTTTTTATTAGGTTATCATAACAAGCCTTCCAAATTTTCTTACCTAATACAGAAAAGTGGATTTTGAAAACAAAAATTTCCAGACAATATTTACCTGTATGAGCTATTAAAACATAGGATAGTAAAATTTTGTCTTTTAAAGTCACTTTTCTGAATTCTTAGGGGTATATCCCACACCAAAATGGCAGTTCTAGCATCTGGACCTGGTAATTCCCAATTCTTAGGGAGTATGTCCCATGCCAAAATGGCAGTTCTAGCATCTGGACCTGGTACCTTTTGGTCAAGGCTAATAGTTCTGGATGGAGATCCCTGGTTGTTAGAAGGGGAAAAGAGATTTTGATGAGCAATGGATTCCATGGTTTCACAATTGGCATAACACCTTCTATCAGGATATATCTACCTCAGAATGGGAATAAAGAAATGAGAAGTAGGAGGTAAATCTAAATAACAGGAGAGGGGAACCTGTAATTCTAAAAAGTTATATAACACATGATAATAGAGAACTGAGTCTTTCATTTGTCTGTTTACAAATCTACCAGAACATATATATTCAAGTGATGATATTTCTCTTGAAAATAACTGCATTGTGCCTACAATTGCTTATTGCATTTTTGGTAACCTCTTTTATAACTGTCTTCAGAACTCATGGCATATATTTTTTCTGTAACCTTTCTGGCTGTAGATTTTCAAACTTTGAAAGTATACTGAAACTAGATTGCTTGAAAAACTTCCTGTTGTAAAATACCTATAATCAAGGATCAATTTAGAAAATGCATTAAAAAACAAGTCAAACCACATGAAATTGCCATCTTGGCAAGTGTTTTTCAGTTAAATACTGACAATTTTGTGTGTGTTCAACCCAGGATAACGCTGAGTTCACCAAAAAAAAAAAAAAAAAGGAGGGGGGAATCCCCAAGGGTCAAATATTAAAAGCAGGCTGAAATTCAGAACGTTTATCATGGTGCTGATGCTCTGGTAAGACAGAGAATGGGAATTGCATCCCCATTAAGAAGTCAAGATTTTTGAATTGTTACACTCTCAGTTGCAAGAAGAATGATAACTTTTTTTTTTTCCAAAGAGAAATGACAATCCTGCTTTTTTATTTTTATTTTTTTAGAGACAGTGTCTTACTCTGTTGCCCAGGCTGAAGTGCAGTAGTGTGATCAGGGCTCACTGTAGCCTCAAACTCCTGGGCTCAACAATCTTCCTGCCTCAGTCTCTCAAGTTTCTGAAACTACAGGTGTATGTCACCACATTCAGCTAATTTTTAAAATTTTTTATAGAGATGGGATCTCACTGTGTTGCCCAGGCTGTTCTTGAACTCCTGGGTTCAAGTGATCCTTCTGCCTCAGCCTCCCAAAGTGCTAAGATTACAGGTGCGAGCCACTGTGAATGGTCATAACATTTTCTTATAGCAATCTAGGCTTAGGGTAGGAAAAAATGACCTTTAGTCATGAGCCTACCCTGAGACAGGTTTGAGATTTAATTTATACAATCTCTGTGATAAAGAAAAATATGTGCTGAAAATCGAAATTTGATTTAATTTTAAATTAGCTTGCCTTATTCTGTTTCTGCAAATATAGAAGTAGCTTGTATTGGACCAACTGTTTTACAGATAACAATGATAAACTCTGGATAAGAATATAAAAAAACTATCTGAAGGTACTGAAGCATGACCAAGGCAGGTAGAAACTGCAGTAGAGTCAATGCTTGCAAGAAAAATATGGCACTAGGTTGGTTTCTAGATTTTATAGTTTTTCACCTTATGGGTAGTCCCTTGTCTGGTCACAATGAAGTAGTGAAAATTCAGCAACAACCCAGCAGACTTATTAGATAAGGAAACAGAGAACAGTGTAAGGTCATACAGAAACTAGAAAGTGAGGGGAGAATCTGGAAAAGAGAGTGCCAAATGGAGCCCTAACTGTTGTAGATAAACTCTGCCCAAATCTCTGGATGACTATTGAATGTGCCCATTAGACCCAGCAGAGGAGAAAACAATGAAATAGAGATTTTGCCTAGTTCCCATCATTAGGGAGACAGGGAGTTTGAAGCCAAATTGGCCATATAAGCAAAAAGAACAAAGCTGGAGGCATCACACTACCTGACTTCAAACTATACTACAAGGCTACAGTAATCAAAACAGCATGGTACTGGTACCAAAAGAGATATATAGACCAATGGAACAGAACAGTGGCCTTAGAAATAATGCCACACATCTGCAACCATCTGATCTTTGACAAACCTGACAAAAACAAGCAATGGGGAAAGGATTCCCTATTTAATAAATGAAGTTGGGAAAACTGGCTAGCCATATGCAGAAAACTGAAACTGGACCCCTTCCTTACACCTTATACAAAAATTCAGTCAAGATGGATTAAAGATTTAAACTTAAGACCTAAAAGAAAAATGTCTTCATGTTAAAGAATAGTTCATCAAATACTTCAAATATTTTTTCTTGGAATATTAATACATACAAGGCTTTCTTTGAAGAGACTTTTCTACTCCAGTTGTATAACTAGAAGCCTCATATAAGAACTATTTCATTTATCACTAGGCACTAGATGAACCAGCCAAGACTGAAAGTGTCTCCAAGGACAACACATTAGAACCACCAGTGGAGGTAATAACTTCAGATTACCCCTGCTTTTGGTATGCGATCCCAAAACTTATTGCTAACCCAGTACCTGGTTTCAATTCTTCCAGCTGTATTTCCCTGCACAGCTCAGGCAGCAAACTGAAGAGCTCTGTGCTACCATTGATAAGGTCTTACAGGATTCCTTGTCTATGGTAATGCCTTAGACTAGAATGTGCAATTCAAACATTTGCTTTGCTTCTCTTCATTTTCCTCTACTTTAGTATGATGCCTCACAGGCTTGTTCTTTTCTTTCCTTTTCTCTTCTTCCTTCCTTCCTTTCTTTTTTTTTCAGCATTCTTCTGATTCTCCTTCAAGGTCCCCAAAGACATTGTTGGGTTCTGACACAGTCAAAGTATGTATATATTTAATATAATTTATGGAACCATAAGATTTATTAGATCAATGATTTCCAAACTGCAAGTCAAGGTCCAATAGTGAATTGAGAAATAAATTTAGTGAATAGCAATCAGTCTTTTTGTAGAATTTTAAAGATAGAAAATATTAGACTTGATTTCAAGTAATGTATAGGTTTTGTTGACATTTGATTACATGTACACATATAATGCAAGGTAAGTGTATACAGGGTTGCAAAGTAAAATCTATTTCTGTGGGTCAAGTTCAAAACAATTTGAAAGCCAACATATTAGACTATTTTTTTTATGTTGACATTTAGAATGTATAATTTGTGGCTCATTCTCACTCAAATTATAGATTCAATATTTATGGAATTTATAGTCACTGAAAAATAGAGAAGTAAAAAATGAAGTAGACTAAAGTAAAATTAGCCTAAGAGGTTTAATATAAGTATTATTTCTAGAATTATTTTCTTTTTGCTGATTGAATTTATTTCATTATTCTTTGACTCAAAGGGAAATAAAACTGGATATTTTAGATTGTTAGAGTACTACTAAACTATTAATTTTTGTAATTGTGTATGTATTTCCTTTTTATAAAATAGTTATTTTCATTTGTTATTATAAAATACTACATTTCTCCAAATTATTTTTTTCAAACACTTAAGCTCTACTCATCCAAATTTCAAAATGCCTATGATTTTTCTTTTGCTGATAATTGTTAGTTATTAGTTACTGTTTTTCTTTTTTTGGTCAGCCTTATTTATTTCCTTGGAATTAGTATACTTTTTTCCTGTCCTTTCTTAAAACGTGGGACACTGTGCATCTAAAGTAATTTTCAAATGTACAGAACTATACATAACTAGAAGAGTAATCCTAATTTCAATTGAAATATTATCAATAAATATCCATTAGTAATGACATATAAAACCCAATAATCAATTATTATCATATTAATTATATTTTAGCAGAGGACCCACAAATGGATAATTATAATTTCTGTATTTGAAGTCTATTTTGTTGTATATCCTTTAAGCCTTTTAATCTAAAACTTTGATTTGTCAAAGATATTATATCAATTTTAAAATATATATTTTTTCTTATTTCATTTGTTGAACATGTAAAAGACCTGTAGTATATTAAATATGATGAGAATGGGATTTAAGAAGTTATATATGAATAATAATCTACATTACTGGTTTCTTTAACAAATATTTAATCCTTATGGTGTTAAAAAAAAAAAAAAAAAACCCGGTATTTTAGGCCACTTCATTCAAGGCAATTTTTCCTTCAACAGGTATTTATTAAGCACCTACCGTAAGTCTGGTGCTGCAAGGCACTAGGAACATAAGCAAGGCTGGATAACCTAAGGCACATGCTTTGAATGTAGTGATCAAGGGGTAGAATTCAAGCTGAGACCCAAAGGTGGAAAAGAGCCAGCAACAGAAATTTTGATCAGGAATAATAGCTTTCAGGTACAGAAACAGACATGTGTAAATTTCCTGAAGCATGAAAGAGCTTAGTGTGTATGAAGATAAAGAAGACAGCCAATGTGCTTGCTGTACACTGAGCTAGGGATGAACAGTGCAAATGATGTTGAGAAACTGGGTTAAGCACAGTAATTTAAACACTTATTTGCCATGGCATGAAGCTTTTATTCCAAGGAAAATGGGGAGACATAAAACCGTGGTGGGAATAACATGAAACTATAGAAGATGATCAATATGGCTGCTGTGAGGAGGCTCCTGCAGTCAGGGAAACAGTCAGTGGTGATGTGGTCTGAATAGGGTGGGTTCAGAAGAGCTAGAGAGAAGCATGACCGTTTGAGGCTTGCCGAGAGTTTGGGTGCAGGTAGTGAAGGAGAGAGAAGACTCATGAATGAACTACAGGTCTCTGCTTTGAGGACAGACAACAATGAAGGAAGAGCTGTATAGTGGCAGGCAGAGGGTTATGTCAGTTTTAGACAAGGATGAGTTTGAAGTGCTTATCAAGAAAGCTTAAACCTGTGTGTTTGAAGCTGAGGGTCATTTGCACATAGACATTGTAAGTGTCCTGTACAGAGCTCCAAGGAACATAACATCACAGGTCTGAAAAAGGAGATGGAGAACCAGTAAATAATAACGAGAAGGCTTTTATGGTAAGAGGAAAGTTAGAGCAGTGTGATATCATGGAAACTATAGAAGAGAGTGTTTCGAATATAATTATGTTGATTGTGGCCAAGGGTCAGAGAAAGATAAGTCTAAAAGAGTGTTTATTAGATTTGGCTTGTGTATTTTGGAACCATATTGCTGGTGCTTGTGTGTTGGCATTCATTCTCGTTTTTGAGTTTTTAGAAGCTTTATCGGCATATATAATCATTTTTTAACTTAAGGTTTTCCTCTTGAGTATTAATATAGTGACTTTTTATTTATAATTTCTAATTGTTGTTTTCCTAGATGTATCATTTACTGTTATTTTACTTTTTTCATACCCTTTTGTCTTATTTTCTTCAGAACAGCATATTTCTGGATATAATTTTTACAGTCAATCAGATTCTATTTACCAGGGACCTTAAGCCACTTATAATTATTGCAATTCTTGTTATGTTAGGATGAATTTTTGCTATCTTATTTCGTGTTTTCTATTTAAAATGTTTTTATTTCTCTTGTTTTTTTTTTTTTTTTTTTTTTTTTTTTTTCTGCTTTCCTTTGGCAATTTTGATATTTACTAGTTTAAACATCTTGAAAATTTTACTTTATATCTTGTTACTTCTGGTAGTTACATGTACATTCTTAAAGACAATTATTATGCTTAATTTTGTATCAATTTTAAAACGTATAAATGTCTTTCCCCAACATTTTGTAAGCACTATAGCATTTTTCACTTTCTACTTGTTTTTAATCAACCTGTATATAAAAACACAAGCACATACACATACAATTTATTAGTATTGTTTTGAACTTTATGTCTGAACACTTCTTGATCTTTCCTTTGTTTAGATACTTATTTCTGATTTAGAACCTTATTTTGCACACATTCAAAGCTTTTTCCTGGGTTTATTGTTTTTCTTGTTGGAATCTTGCTTCAAGTTGTACAAAGCAAGATCTTTTTGTGTAGATTTTGTGAGCTCTGTCCATGATAACATCTTTATTTTGCCTTTTCGTTTAAATTATAGTTTTGCTGCAAATAAAATTGTAGGTCCTCTTTCTTCAACATTTTCCCCCTAGGTTTCTTTTTCTTCAACAACATACTTATGAATTATTTTGTCAGCATGATACTTGTTCCTTGGCTATAGAGTGATCATTTACAGAATTGCTGTATAAGCTTTTAAAACTTTATCTTTATGTATGATCTTACAGATATTTTTTATGATGTATCTAGGCATGCATTTTTTTCTTGTATATTTTGATTGTTACCCTTTATGACCTTTCATATGAAGTCTTCGATCTTTTCTTTCCCTTACATTCTCGGTAATTTTTAATCATTATTTTTGCAAATATTTACTCCCACATGGGACTCTTATAATACTGATTTTGTCACTTTTGATTCTGTATTTCATGTCTCTTACTCTTCATATTTTTCTATTTATTATTTTCTAATTCCTTCAAGAGGAATCCTTGATCTAATATTCCAGTTCAAGATTTTGTTCAGTATCTATTCTTTCCTTCAATTCCTGTCTTACATTCTTTGTTGAAGCTGATGTAATTTTTTCTTCTAAATAAGATTTATTGAGGCATAATGTAATCACTGTAAACTCCATCCTTTTAGTTTACAGTTCTGAGTTTTGACAAAAGAATCCAATCATATAATTACTACCTCATTCCAAACAAAACATTTCCATCAACTGAAAAAGTTCCCTGTGCTCCTTTTTAGTATACACTTCCCTCTAACCCAAGTCCTGGGAAACCACTTATCTTTTCATGTGTTCCTATGCTTTTGCCTTTTCAATAATATCATATAAATGTAATTATATAGTCTGTAGTCACTATAACCTTTACTTAGTAGAAGGCATTTGAAATTCATCCACATATCATTGCGTGGATCAGTAGCTCTTTTTTTTTTTTTTTTAAATTGCTGATTAGTAGTCCACTGTGTGGATGTTCCATCCTTTGTTTATCTATTCACCAGTTAATAGATGGTTGGGTTATTTCTAATTTGGAGCTATTACTAATAAAGCTGCCAAGAATGTTTGTAAACAAGACTTTGTATGGATATATGATTTCACTTATCTTGGGTAAATACTTAGGAGTGGAATAGAGGAACCATTGTTTTCTTTTATAGTATTTACGTTTTTCAGATGTCTTATGTTTCCATGGAAACTCAAATTTCCCTGAGCATGTCAACTAAGTTGGGTGTATATATGCCTGGTTCCTGGGGTGGCAGGTCCTGAAGCCCAAGTCCTAGCACTTGCCAATTCTGGTGAGGTTTATTTATTTATTCTTTAAGAGCAGGAGGAGCATGTGCTTCAGAAGGGAGAAGTGCCATAGTATCAACCAGTTCCCACTTGCCACTTCCTCTCCACCCTGGTGACCCTGACCCTCCTTTCTGCCTCCCTGTACCTCTGCTTATGGTATATTCTTCTCTTCCAATAGCTGTCCCAGTCATCATTGCTGAGCAAGGGATCAAGGGAAAGATTCATCAGAAGCTGGCCAGTTATTGAAACCTATAGTTAACTATTTTCTCCCAGAAGGCTGAAGGACCACTTTGATATTGTCTTCATTGTTATCTCTTTTTACTACGCTCAGATTTTAGTAGTCCCTCACTTCACCCCATTGATCTTATCTCTGATGTTTAAATGTGTTGTGGCATGAGAAAGCAGGGATAGAATATGTAAAAACAAAACAAAACAACTATTTTGAAATGTTTGGCTGTTAAAAGGAAAAGGAAATTAGGTTGCTATTAAGGTCAAGAAAGAATTTTTTGTTTTGTGAAGCTGAAAATGACAGATCAAATTTGCATATGGTGGCATTGGTCTCAGCAGAGAAAGAAGTACTAATTCTAGAGAAGAAGGGGAAATAAAGGTCTGAATATTTGTGCCCCACCCACCTACTGAGAATTCATATTTTGAAATATATGAAGGTATTAGCAGATGGGGCCATTAGGAAATGATTGGGTCATGAGGATGGGGACCTTATGAATGGGATAAGTTCCCTTACAAAACAGTCCTGAGAGAAACCTCTTACCCTTTCCACCATGTAAAGACATGCAAGATGGCCTCATCTATGAACCAGAAGTGGGCCCTCACCAGGCACCAAATCTGCTAGTGCCTGGATTTTAGACCTCCCAGTCTCCAAAACTGTGGAAAATAAACTTCTGTTGTTTATAAGCCACTCAGTCAATGATATTTGTTATAGTGGCCCAAATGTGCTAAGACCATTTGATAATAAGCTGGAAATGTCCTTCATTGTAATAGAATGGAAAATAAAGGACATGACAGCTACAGATGCAAGAATGTTTGTAGTTTGGTGGAAGAGAAATAATTTTATAACCAATATCTTTAGTTATTTCATAACTAACACCTTTCAATGAAGTAAAATATAAGATCATTAACTAAGATTAAGGGGAGAAGCTGTGATGGGAATGAATTTTAAAAAGTTAAAAAAAAGTTTATATATTCTACTTTCAATTCCTTTTCTCCAGTTTCCTTTTAAATCTCCTTTTTTATGTCACCAAAGCCACTTTTTCCAAGGTTTCTGAAGTCCTCTGCATTGCAATAAACCCAGTCCTGAGTTGAGATGACAGCAACAGAATTTGAGACAGTTGCTCACACCCTCCTCTTTGATACATTTTCCCTCTAGAGTATTTTAGAATGCCATACTCTATCTGTTTTTCCTCTATCTCCCTTTTTGTTATTATTTCTTAGTCTCCTTTGCTGGTTCATCTTCTTCTTCCCAAACTGTTAATGTTGGAATGCTCTGGTCATGAGTCCTCAAACTTCTCTTTTCTCTGCATATTCATTCCTTTGGTGATCTCACCCTGTTTTATGTTATAAAAACTAACTACATATGTGCTGACAACTCTATTTCTAGTCCATGATTCTCTCTCAAACTACCGACTTCCAAATACCTACTCTTCATTTCCATTTAGACTTCTAACAGATGTCTTATCCTCAATATGCATATAAATAAAATCTAGATTTTCTCTGACAAAATGATTCCCTATGTTGCCTTCTCATCTCCATTGGTAGAATTTCACTCTTTCATTTGCTCAAGGCCAAAAACGTTGGTGTCATGTTTTATTCTTCTCCTTCTCTCACATTTCACATGTCTTCTATAGAAATCCTGTTTCTACAGCTTCAGAATATGTCGACTATGATTATTTCATGGCTTCTGCACTACTGAGCCACTGTGTTTTGTTGGATAGTACAAGAGTTTTGTCCCTATACCTCTGACTCACAATAGTTTATTCTTAATACATGAAATGCAGAGAAGCTTTTAAAGCATAAGTCAGATCATGACCTTCCTCTATTTAAAGCCAGAAGTGCTTACACATTTCCCTCAGAATATAAGCAAAGTCCTCACAAGGTCCTGGAAGGGCCTGTATGGTCTGGTGCCCCAATGCTTCTGTGATTGCCTTTTTCTTCCAACTCTCTCCTTTACTCACTCCATCCTAGCCCACTAGCCTCCTTGCTGTGCCTTGGATGTGTCAAGCATGCTCCTGTCTTAGCACGTTAGTTTCTTTTCAAATCAGTTATATCACTGATCATTTTATAGTTTCTATCATACTGTGAAAAATTTTCTGCCTTTATCTCCAAAATCATGGTTAAGTATGGTTGTTTTCAGTCTGGTTCTGAAAAGACACATTTCTTAATCTCCGTGAGTCTTTTTTTTTTTTTTGGTTGTTTATTATTTCTGCTCATCCTCATTAACATTGTCTTGCCTTTTTGTGTGTCTGAATCTGATTGTATGCTAGATATCCTATTTGAAAATTTCTTAATAGAAATGGAGACTTCATATGATATTACCTTTCCATAGAAAGTCTTTTCTTTGTTTCTGTCATACACTGGGAGCACTAGCAAGAAAAAACTACCTGAATTTAATTTAAGGTTTTGAGATGATTTTTTCTGGACAGTCATCTTCAGATGATTTGATACCAGGTTGAAGACTATGTGAGTCTTCTGGGTCACTCTTATTCCTAGGGACCCAATCTGTTCTTGGCAAGTCCTGGTTGACTTTTCTCTATATATACCTGTGAGATATCAAAAGTTTGGGTCAGCTTCTCAAGCAACTCATCATTATTTGCAAGCATCCCCAGGGCAAAAGCAGTTCTGAAATGCTGAACTTCTCTCTTCAGGTACCCATCCTCTTTTGATTTTGCCCAGCAATTATTCGCTCTCTTTTTAGTTCATTGATGTATTTGATTAAATATTTTTCAATATATTGGTCAGATTTTTTATTGTCCTATATGGAAAGATTACTTCCAGTTTTCTATCCACAATTCTCAGTGGAGCAAATCCACTTTAGAAACTTTGCACTTGTTCCTTCTTGTTGGAATGCTCTTTATCTAGAATACCACACAGTCAACTCCCTTACTCCTTCAAGTCTTTGAAGTCTCCTTCAAATGTCACCTTCTCAACACTGATCATCTAATTTAAAATTGTAAACTCCCAGCACTCTTGACCTCCTTAACATCTAGGTGGTCCAGAAAAACATGAGGTATTTTATAGAAGCAAATAAATTTTTATCTGGAAGCACATATATTGCCCTAGGCTTCAAATTATTTCTACTCTTTTTCATTGCATTTATTCCTTTCTAACATATAATTTACTTATTTATGATTTCATTGCTTATTTCTCTTCTTCCAGAATGTGAACTCCTCAATGGTGGGACATCTTTGTCTCTTTTGTTTACCAATAAGTCCCAGGGGTGTAGAACAGTGACTGGCACACAGTAGATGCACAATAAATATGTGTTGAGTGGATGAATGAATCAAATAGCTATTTCATCTCAGAAAGTGGGCCAACAAAAGAAAAATTTGGGACAGTACCAAATGCACATTTGAAATTGATAATTATTAATTTAAAATAAAATTAATTAATTTGTTTGAAAGAGTTTCTCCAACAATGTTTTGCATCTCAGATACAAGTATGGAGAAAAATGGATGGCAAGGCCAATTTAGGGTTGAGTTCTTTTTTTTGGAAGTGAACTTGTCACAGGAAGAGAGGAAGATAAAAAAATAAAAGTATTAAAATGACTTATAATATTAAATAATACGAGCTAAGAGGTAAAGCCAGAATAAAGCTGATGAAGGTCAGTGATTTGGAAGTCCCAATGATGTGGATGTTGTACTAGCAGCACTAGAGAAATAAAGATGGTGGATAGGAGGTAGAGGTCTGAGTGTGGGACATTTGTAATTGAAATTTCTGAGAGTTTCCGTTTTACTGGCGAAGGTAAAATTAAGGAGCTTTCTGGCAGTGAATGATTGAAATGGAGTAGATGAGAACATCTTTGGAATTGAGGAGCTCAAAAAGTTGAAAAGACAGAGATTTCTACATGAATTTTGAAATAGGCAAAAATTACAGAAGAAATGTGAGGAAAAAACTATTATGATCTATGGGTTAACATCATCAATAAATAAGGAGAAATTAGCAGAAAGTTGATAGATAAAGTCAGTGAAAAGAATAATCAAGTGATATCATTTTATAAAATAATTTTCAAAAAAAGATATTGTATAGAGAGAGCAATGTTTAGAAAATCTCAATTGAGAAGAAGGTGAACACATTCTAGAAGTTGAGTCTATTATTATTTACTTTGTTATTTCAGAAGTATAATTGTTTTTATTTTCATACAGACTCCCACAACTCTTCCAAGAGCAGCTGGTCGAGAAACCAAATATGTAAGTACCTTTATAATTATACACACTGCTTTTCAAACGGGTGCCTGTGTATGCTTCGGAGAGAACACAATTATACAGTAATTTAAATAGAATTAATTGATTTTTTTAATAAGTTGAAGGGTAGGATGATATGATTGGCTCAGAAACAGAAAATCAGATTATGTCAGAGAAAAAACATCAGGTATGCTTATCAAATAAATTTATTCTTAACTGAGATCTAGTTGGATTAGTTTAGCTAAATAAAACAGAACTGCCACACCTGCTTCCTGATTTTCTAGTTATCAACACTTAGATGACATTTTCATTTTTGTAATGGTTTATTATGCTTACAGAATAGTCAACTCATATACTTGAAACATTAAGATTTGTCCATTTCTAATGGGATTGCCAGTTTAATCAACTTTGACTATTTTGTTGCTTTCCTGCATTTAATTTATTAACAAATAAACCAATTTCCACTTTTGAGCAAAAACAGATTGATCATGGATAGATATAGACTCACATTCAAGTCAAATAATTATGAGTAGCTGGCTCTGAGTGTGTTAGACACACACATGCATAGCCTTATCCCAACTCCAGTGTTCACTCACCTAATAATTGTGTTTTCCATCATGTGGTCAACTTCTGCTTCTGACCAAATGTATTCTAGTAGAAACAAGATTAACTCCTTAGTAAGTGTTTAGTTTTAAGTCTAAAACAAATTAGTAAACTATTTCATTTAAGTTACGCATTTGTACTTTTTATCATAATTATGAAGAATAAATAGTTATTAAATGTGTATTTTGTGCCGTATCATCATTGTAATTTGTACAGTTCTTCCTCCATTTTAATCTCCCCAAGGAAAGTAACAAACTGGGTGAAATTACTAAATTTTATAACATCCAGAAAATTGTGTTCAGAGGATGTGGGTAAGAATACTGCTTAGACCATTTTCTGGAAGTTTCACTGTTATTTTTCATTATTATTGGAAGCCATTGAGAGTAATACTTAAAAATAATGAAGGCATTTAGTAGACTAGACCCAAGTTTAAAATCAGTGTTGCTTTTAGATAGCTATCTGATTCTGGGAAAATTACCTTTCTGTGCCTTTGTTTCTTCATCTATGAAATGGGGATACTAATAATTTTCTTATGTAAGATTTATATTAGCTAATCTATGAAAAGCCTTTAATGCAATCCTGATACAAAGGAATTGCTCGATAACTAAAAGCTTTTCCTTTCCTTTCCCTTTTTCCTTTATTCACACCTCCTTTCTTCTCTTCCTCTTATCTATCTTTGGAAGACTAGAAGTATCTTGATTTAATTGAATTCCTTGATTCGTTATTGGGTACAAGAAAAGAAAGTTTCCTAAAGGTATTTCTATACTTTTTGTGACTAATACATTTTACAAGAGCCAGACCCCCAAAAAAGTCACTGGAATTTTTGCTCTGTCACTCACCTTCTTATCTTACCTACTCTTGCCTTTCAGCAAAATGTCTCTAATTAGATTAGTTTTCAATAGGTTCAGAGAGTTGTTGTCGTTATCCATTCCTCTCTGGGAGTGGTTAATTTGGTAGCAATTGAAATGATTCTGGAGCGGCTTCTTCAATCTCCATAGTTAGAAATTATTTGAAATTATTCTTTACTTTCAATCAATTATCATACTTAATTAAAGCATGTTAACTTTCATGCCCTTAATGTTGTGAGAGCATTTAAGTCATTCAAAGTTAAGAATGAACCATCAAACAGCTTCAGTATAGGCTAGAACAAATATAAACTCTAATTCAGATAAGATTCTTGACCTTAATTAAAATTCATTTCTTGAGTAAGAAGCTTTGTTTTTACTTTGTTTTACAACATGACATTTGAATTGTTGTTTGTGGCCCTTAAAATACGTCCATGTCTTTTGGAAGATCATAAGGGAGCATTTTACAACTAAAGGTCAAAACTAGTTTGGCGCCGACTCTCGGATTAGTCATATTTGTACATATTCAGCTGTAGTTATTACAATTTACTAAGTGATGTCTGATACATTTAGTTTGAGGAGAAAAGATTAAATTTTAGAGCAGAAGTCCACTTTAGCTATAAGCTTTAGTCTTGAGTGAACAAGAGCTTATCTTGTATGTCTTGAATATAATGTGTTCTGATTTTTTAAAAAGAATGACACTGTAATATTTTCTTCTAAAAATTCTAATATTCGTGTTGACTCAGTTATGGGATATCTCACTTTAAGTATGAGTTTACTAGCTGTGATTTAATTAATTCATTTATCACTATATATTTCTCTCTTTCCCCTGAAAACTAAAAAGTGACTCTGAGAAGTCTATTTCTGTAACATTTCAATATTTCACCATCTGTCTTCAAACTTTGGAGAAAGTTGTCATCTTCAGAGCATATACCTGCTGGGACTCAGTGAGTCCTTGACTTTGTAGACATTCTTAGGTTAAATTCAAAGGCGGGGATCATGCAGGTTACCAACTCCTACACCACAGAGGAGGTTGAATAAAGGGAAGACATAAATTAGAGCCAAGAAAAAAAAGTTTGGTTACACTTGAGGATATCCTGAACAAGTTAGTACTGACCACCTAAAAGTCCTATTTGTAGAGGCTCTTTAAAAGTATATCTGATTACTACACATTATATATCTCAAAACACCACTATGCATCCCCTGGATATGTACAATTATTATTTGTCAATTAAAAAATAAAATTAAAAAGATATAGTATATAATCTGTGGATCAAGACTAGTAGAAAAGCTAGTCACTATTTCTAGCCCTGGTATTCAGTTTTCCACCTCTATTCATCGATTCGACAAATATTTATTGAGTGTCTACCAAGTACCATTCACTGAGGAGTCACTGGGGTGAGAGGAGTGAACACAATGACAGGATGCCAATTTCTGAAGCATATATTCCAATGATGAGACAGATAGTAAACAGTTAAAATAGTAAATGAGCAAGATACTTTATTACAGAAATAGAGAGGAGGTAGCCAGAGAACCTATTGATGTTAAAACCAACTTACAAATTTGCTAGTTTTCAATGTATTCGTAGGTTTTCCAGTTTTCCTCGGATAATTATAATGGTTTAATAAAAGAATAAGAAAGTGTATGGCTAATTCCGCTTTATAGGCCTTTGGTGAAAGACTGTCTTCTCTGGGAAAAAAAAAAAAAAAAAAAGAAAAATAAACAAGGAAAATCAACTCACAATAATGTTTCTTTCTTTGGGTCTTTATTGCACATATTGTGACATTTCATACAGTCTGTTTTTTGGGATGAGCCAGGTGCAGTAAGAGCAACACTAATTCAGACTAATTAAAGTAAAGGTTTTCTCCAGTCTGTGGTGTTCTTATAATGCAGGTTATTTTAAAATAATATAATTGGGATTCTTTTAAGTGTAATAGAACTGAAACTAGGCTAACACTATGTTGAATAGGGAGTGAGCCTTTGGTCACTTGCAGGTTTGATTAATTTATCATCAATATTTCATTCGATTATTTTAAAAAGATGCTAAATTCAACAATAATAATAACTAATATTTTGAGCTCTTACCTTGAAAATAAAGCTTAACTATCTCATTTAAACTGTATACTAAACCTATGAGGTGGGTATTATTATTTTAAAATCTCCATTATACAAAGGGGGGAAAACAAGTCTGAGAAGTCAGAGTAGGCAAAACCCAACCCAAGTTTTCTTCATGTCAAAGTTTCTGCCATTCATACTTCTATATACTTGTAGAAGTGTAAGTACATACCGGAAATAGTTTGCATTCTTTTAATATTTTATCCATTCATATTTATACCCTGGCTCCAAATTATTTCTTCATGCCCAATAACCTTCAACCTAAACTTAGAAAGAATAATTTCATATTTGGTCATATTAACATCTAAAATGATAGTGATTTACTGTTTCCAGGGTTTTAAATCATGTGCTTAAATGTACATTAACTCATAATATATCAGATAAGGTATAAGAGAGTTATTTCTTACTGACAATCATTTTTAAAGTTTATTTCCTTCATGTAAATAAATAGATTTCCTTTCTAAACAAATTTTTAATATATTTATTTTTGTGGGTATATAGTAGTTATGTGTGGAGTGCATGAGATATTTTGATATAGGAACACAATGCATAATAATTACATCATGGAAAATGGGGTATCGGTCCCCTCAAGCTTTTATTCTTTGTGTTACAAATAATCTGATTATACTCTTTTAGTTATTTTAAAATGTACGATAAAATTATTATTGACTATAGTCACTTGGTTGTGCTATCAAATACCATGTCTTGTTAATTCTTTCTATTTTTTTTTGTACTCGATAACCATCCCTACCTCCCCACCCCAAAGCAACTCCCACCATTCTCAGCCTCTGGTAACCATTCTTCTACTCTCTATCTCCATGAGTTCAATTGTTTTGATTTTCAGATCCCACAAATAAGTGAGAACATGTGTTGCTTGTCTTTCTGTGCCTGGCTTATTTCCTTTAACATAATGACCTCCAGTTCCATACCTGTTGTAGCAAATGACAGGATCTCATTCTTTATAATGGCTGAATAGTACTCCACTGTGTATAAGTACCATGTTTTCTTTATTCATTCACCTGTTGAAGGACACTTAGGTTGCTTCTAAATCTTAGATATTGTAAACAGTGCTGTGGCAAACATGTGAGTGCAGATACCTCTTTAATATACTAACCAGCAGTGGGATTGTTGGATCATACATGGTAGTTCTTTCTTTTTCATTTTCTGAGGAACCTCGAAGTTGTTCTTTATAGTGATCATACTAATTGGTGGTGTACAGTCCCACCAACAGTATGTGAGGGTTCCCTTTTCTCCACATGCTCATAAGCATTTGTTATTGCCTGTCTTTTGGATTAAACCCATTTTGACTGGAGTGAGATAATATCTCATTGTAGTTTTGATTAGCATTTCTCTGATGATCAGTGATGTTGAGCATCTTTTCATATGCCTGTTTGCCATTCGGATGTCTCCTTTTGAGAAATGTCTACTGAAATCTTTTGCCCA